TAGGAATGATAAACCCACAGATATTGGACTTTCTCTGACAGCACTACTAAATTTTAGTGGTACAATTTTGAAAAGTCATGGTATACGTTCTCTCACATTAAGGGATGGGATTTTCATTAAAAGCATAATGCAAGCCATAGCTAAGGTTTGAGTTAAGGAAGAAAATAAAAAACAGAGAAAACTCAAATTGGCACAGGCCCAAATATGTGAGTCTGTTCCCAGAGTATACAACCCATTGTGACTTCTGCCTCTCTCCCCCCCCCTCCGCCAAAAAAACAACAGTAAGCCTTACTCCCATTCCTCTAAGGGTGTCCATTCCCTGCACCAGCAATTCTAACTCCACAGTTGTACAGAAACAGAAGACTGCTGTTCATTCCATGATGGATAAAGAGAGGATTCCACTCAATTGGGAGTGAAGCCTATTTCAAGTCCTTAAGAACAGACACCATCACACCACACTGCCGCCCCCAAAAATCTCACCTGCAAAGCATCCTGCTGGGTTGTTTATTGACTAAAATTCTGCTGAAATACTATGGTGCAACTTGTCCTGTCATAGAATAATGTGCAGCCCTTTCCTGGGGGTTTATCATTCCTAATTCAAAAAATGCAATGAACAATGGAAACTGACCTTGAGTGTGGCTGGAAGTGAACATCTTTGCTCATCCAAACGACTTCTCTAGACAGACAGATAGGGAGACAAGGAAGGCCAGAAGAGAGGCAGGAAAGAAGAACGAAGGAATCAATCAATCTCTGGTTTATTTTCCCTCTGCCTTAGAGAGGGAAAGCTGTTGAAAGTCCATTTGGCCTTCAAATAACATTCTGGGGCAAGGATAACAACTAAGCACAATTTAATTTACATATAATGATATTAAACACAGTTAATATAATCGTTTGCCACATATTGAATACCTCTTCCATTCTATCATATTAAATATTATGGTTTGGTGGCAAATTTTGGAGGGGCTCTAGAAGCTGTAGCTGACAACAGCAAATCACTGCTCTTTTCAGGACCAAGAGCCTCATTACCAAACCATTTTACATTTCAGGAGCAAAGAGTAAGATCCCCAAAGTTCATTATAGGCAACATATTTAGAGAATATGCTTTTGTTATGCTGCTATGCTTAATCATTCACTCTAGAATAATCACCTTTTTTCAAAAGAGGAGACTTTTGTCATTCAAACATACATGCAAACATGTATTTCCTTATAGGTAACAGTCAGATTACAGAACAAATATGATATTCAGAAATGCTAAGACATTTGAGAAAAATATTATTGGCCTAAAATCCTGGGAAGAAGAGACAGAAGGGATCAGCTGTGATAAACCAGGAGAGTTTTTTTTTTAACTAACAAAACTATTTCTATATGGTTTCTTGCTCACCCAAGTGAGGGAATCAATCCATCCCCAAACCTAATCACTACTGCCTGTAATGCAATTAACCAAAGGTTATTTTTCCCCTCACTGGTTGCTTCAGTTTAAACCACATAGGCACTCATCAGAGTAGTAATTCAGTGAAACTAACTGCTCCCATCCACTTTCTTCTGAGAGCTTCAAATGGAAAAATAAATTTCATTCATCAAATTACCAAATGTTTACTCTAGGTAACACATCCACAGTGTGTTAGACTCAAACTATATGTTACACAATCTGCCCTGGAAAGTAAGTTAGTTCTTTTTATAATTCATTCCACGAATCTCAATTGAGTTTATCAGTAGAGTGATTTCAGTTTAAATTCCAATACACAAGAAAGCGTGAACACAGATGTGCAAGAGAAGTGACTCAAAAAGCATTTCACCCTGGAGTCAGATAATTACCAGGCCCAAATGAAAACAGAGATGTAGCTCACAGGCAGAGGAAGAGAACTGAGGTATCACTAAGGGAAAGCACAGCTCTTGGAGCTACATGACTTCCAGAAGCACAGCAGAAAGAAAGCATCCATTTCTAACAAACAGACACAGCAGAGAGGTAAAAACATTTTCGTAAATTACAAGGAGAATCTCACAGGAGCCAGATGAACCAATAGAAATATCATGGCAGGAACAGGCAGGGTGAAATTTAAGGGCATCGAAGGAAGATGAGTCACCAGAAGCCAGCTGCGTGGAGAGGGTTAACAGCTTACATAGCTACAGACAGGGCAGAGACCTTTGAGGTAATTATTGCATTTGGGTAATGTTCAGGTTGGCAAGACAATTCCACAGCAGAATCAGCTTGTTATCAGAGGTTCAAAACTTGATCATGAAACAAAAACATACCTGCATTTTTTCAATCATTTCAAATAAGTCGACTACCTGTATGGAATCACATAAAATAAGAAATCAATTTGCAGACCCCAGATTTTAGGTCATTATTACTGTTTCGTTAGATCGTGTTTTCAATACTGCACAGTGCTTTTTTAAAAATGAAAATACAAAATACAGAGTGCTTCCTGATAGCTGCTGTCTCAGAAGAGAAAAAACATATTGTATAAGCTCTAATTATCTGGAAACCAGGCCACTTTGGAAAAGTGTCATGTCTTACACCTTTTAGTGAGCTGCTCATTACTATTGTATTCCTTACTCAGATATTCTTTTTTGTCTGAAAAGAACCAAATATTTTGCCATTTAAAGGACAACCTTTAAATTTTAAACCTTAAAAAAAAACATACTGTAATTGGAAGAGACCCTGGAAAGTTCAAGTACCTGCTAAAAACAGGACAGCACTATAGCACTCCTAACATATTTTATCTATCAATCATCTCTCTCTTTCTCTCTTTCTCTCTCACTTGTCTAATTTAGATACCATCCATCTCACTCTGAGTAACATCAGGACCAGGTGCTTTACGTAAGGTTATCCAGCTCTGTTTAAACACTTTAAGGGGCATCAACTCCTATTTAAGTCTGTTTCCATTAAATGTTCTTCTAAATTTTAGCCAAAAAATTACCTCTGGTTGAATCCATATCTTTCTCACTGAGACAAAAGAAATTAATCTGCTGCATATTCAACATGAAAACCTTTCAAACTGTCAGATACCACTGATATATTCTTGTCAATATTTTTCCTGGCTTCCATCTCTTAGATGATTAGTCCTAAATTGAAGACTACATATAATACTTTCATGAGAGAAACCTGAATGGAACCTTCTCCTTTGTTCATTAAACACCTAGATGATAGTTTTTCATAGACAAAACACAGGAACCATTACTGACTTAGCAATATATATGCCATTGCAAGGGAGGAAAGAGGAAGAACTATAAGCAGTAAGGTCAAAGAAATGCATAAAATAATTATATTATTGACAGCATCAAACTGAGATACAAAAGGTAGGTTTGTTACATGAACCCCTCAAAATGACCTAAAGAGATAAGAGTTTGGGGGGGGGGGAACCAACATGCTCAAAACCTTCCCCAAATCTCTAAGTATACCAGTTCCATTTCCAATCTTTCATACTTGGGTGCCAAGAACTGAAGTTCTAAGCATATACAGCTGAAAAAGCTGAGAATCGTCCAGCTATGCTAACCCAGTTCCTGTCCCTAAGGAGACTGATACTAATGGCATTCAGTTTAGAAGATACTCAGACAGTCAGAAAACTGTCTGGGTGACCTTAGACTAGCTTCTCTCTCAAGCTAAATTATGTCCTTAAGGGTAACAAGGATTATCTGTAGCTCCTAAAGCAAAGACAAGACATAACTGGTTGAGTTAAGCACAACTGCATTATTAGAGGCAGGCAGAAAGCAAGGGGACTCCTTACCTTATTCTGAACACCTAGATTAAGGGCAGCCTGAGGGTCCTGGATAGGTGAATCTAAGATGTCACTGATGCAGTGTTCTGCTTCATCAGATCTCCTGTATGAAGAGGAGGCCATGCCAGTTAGTATAATAAAAACAAACAACAGCTGCAGAACTGTCAATTTCCCAGATGCTGACACTCTTTTTCATAAGCTTAGGAACTGGCCTGATTGTAGTTCAGACAATGCCCAGACTGTATTTTTATAAAATCCATTCAGAGAAATATACATAATTCTTTTCAAGGAAAGATTATAACTATTAATGGGCAGGAAGAGAAGGTTTTTAAAATGATACCTAGCCAAAGCAAAGCACTAAAATAAAGAAACTCTAGGTAAATTCCCCTAGTCATCACAGGCATACATTTATTAATGTGCCTCACACAAGCATTCAACACTGAATATGGTTTCAGAGACAAAAGCCATTTGCAATTAAACTTCAGTCAGTGAATAGTCAAACAGAAGCATGTTTAAAAACCAAGAACAGAGCTTGTGCAGGCTATACATGCAATCACAAATCATTCTTGCCAATCCATTGTTGCATCCCTGGTTGCATTCTGCTTTATTTATTATTTATTAGACACAAATCACCTTTCATTCAGGAGCTTAAGCAGTGTATACAGCATATGCTACCTCTTCCCATTTCCTCTACACAGCAGCAACCCAGTGAGATTAGTTAGGCTGAGAGAGAATTGCTGGCCCCCAAGCCACACAGGAAGCTTCTATGGTTGAGGATGGACTTGGACTTAAGTCTCCCTAATGCCAGTGTTACCCCTTAAGCACTATCTCTCCCTCCCATTATTGGACTGATGTAAAGGTGTCCCTGCAGGTTTAACCTCACCAGTTGTGACCAACTTAAGGGGGCTATGCTCATCTCCATTTCTTAAGCCAGAAGTCTGGAGCCTTTTTTAAGCCAGTGATGTCTGGAGATGTTTCGATGGTCTTGTGGCCAGCATGTCATCACCCCTGACTGATACCTTTTATATATTATCCAGTTTGGCACTTCAGCTTTCTATTACAGCCACCTTTCCCTTTCGTGCAAAGCAATTTTTTGGGAGACTTTAATAGTGCCACTGAATGAAAAATTGTTGAACTCACATATATCAAAAAGTTTCAGACAATCTCAGAAGATTTCAACAAGCATAAGGGGTTTTAATACTCTACAATAATGAACTGATAAGATAATCTGTTGCACGTGTAACCTGTGCCTGCATAACCCCCCTTTTCTTCCCCCCACCTCATCCTATTTAAATCCTACATCAGTCTAGCCACATCTGGTGAAGTGAGCTGCAACTCATGAATGCTGATGCCTTTTAATAAAATGTATCAGAAAAGGTGCTGCCAGACGCCTGATTTTTCACATTCCATTTCAGATGCATAGGACTCTGACTTGCTACAGTGACAATTATTTCTCCATCTCTTCTTCCAAACAAGTATTTGGATGGATGGGATGTACAAGAAAGTATAATTAGAAAGAGAAATCCTGAAGAATCATATTGGGACCATTCATAAATAACAGAGGAGAAGGCTATGAATAAAAAATAGTATCCTCCTGGAATGATGCCCCAAAAGATGCATCATGTGGAAGTTCTACAAATAATAATTTGACCTGATTTAACTTTTTGCCACAAAAAATCCTAGTCTGATATAGAAAGGCTTCCTCTTCAGTATATATGAAATATGTGTTTTCTATGCATACAAAACCACAATGCAACAGTATAGAAGTTTTTATAATACATGACAAAATACTTGACAGAGTAGAACAAAAGACCATCTACTCCAATGTTCTGTACCCTGGCAGCTGACACGTACACCCACAAAATTCAGAATTAGGACATAATAGCAATAGCCTTCTTTCTTTGATTTATGTTTTCATTTATCTTGCTATCCTTAGCAACAGCGCCCTATGTTTGGTCTCCAACAGCTGGTGTTTTAAGATAGGCTGTTTTTGATTCTAGACTAATTTACTAGATTAGTAGCCATTGAAAGGCCTGTCCTCCATGAAGTGGTCTTCTTTTATAATAATCTAAGATTATAGCCCTCCTCATTACATCTTCCCTATTTGTTTCTATAGTCATTTATTTCTTTGAAAGAGTCCTGATTCTCCTTGCACAGGGCTCCTTGAGCAAGAAAAAAGGGAGGGAGAAAAATACATCTCTGTCACGTTTTCTATCAGTGCTGATAGAAATATATGCTTCTGCTGGATCTTTTCTTATCTGCCCTCATTCTAAGTTAAGATGCCCAAATGCTTTAATGTATGTTTTTGAAGTCAGGTAACAAAATTTCCATAGGTTTTTTTTCTCTTAATATCTGCCTACCTTTTCGTAGTACAGGTAGCAGTACTATTTTTGGTAGTACGATTTATGACCAAAATTGAGCCCAAAATTTCTGTTAAGTGAATTTTGCCCCATTTTATGACCTTTCTCGCCTCAGTTGTTAAGTGAATCACTGCAGTTGGTATATTGATAACCTGGTTGTTAAGTTAATCTGGCTTCCCCATTGGTTGCAGAAGTTCGCAAAAGGTGATCACATGATCTTGGGACCCAGCAATAATCATAAATATGAATCAGTTGCGAAACATCTGAATTTTGATCACATGGTCATAGGGATGCTAAAAAGATCATAACTGCGAAAAACAGTCATAAGTCATTGTAACTTTGAACGGTCACTAAACAAACTGTTGTAAATTGAGGACTCCCTGTACTTTGCAGACATCTGTCGTAACACGACAGAACAGCTGAATTACCTACAGATGACAAGCTCCCTCTACCCTAAAAGGCACAAGATAGCAACCAGCAAGCTACTTCTCCACTCCGAAGGGGCAGGCATTACCTGTAGCTGGTAGAATATGCTTGGATCATTTATCAAAGCAATAAAAAGTATCCAATACTATAATAAGAATTGTTTCTGTGTATGAGCCATTTGCCTAGAGAAGGCCAGGAGACATGTTTCACTGCTCCAGATGTATTTCGGTCTGGATTACCTCCAGCTGTAGCCAGCTATACACTCCGTCTGGGATTCAGTGACTAAGCTGTTGTTTAGTTATGCAGAGAGCTTACCTGCATTAATAGCAGTATTATATAAAGAGTATTATTATGCAGTATTATGGAAATTTTCTATAATTAGAAGTATTATGTAAATTCTCTATTATTAGCAGTATTATGTAAATTCTCAGACACTGCTATGCTCTTCGGTCTGACTATAAACCTGAATAAGATTGAAATACTTGACCAGCCTGTAACAAATATGAAGGCCATAAAACCAAAAACCACTGTTGATGCCACCCAGTTGACAAATACAAACATTAAATACTTGGGAAGAATCATCTTGAGTGGTGGCTCTTTGAACAAAGAAACTGACTCCAGTACCAGCAAGACCAGTCAAGTGCTGGGGCAGCTGCATACTTGAGTGCTCAATTATACAATGTCTATACCAATTTCATTGTATTTAAGTACAATGACAATAAAGATTATACATACCTTCACAAACCTCAAAGTCTACAGAGTTGTGGTTATCCCTTCTCTCCTATGTGGATGTGAATTCTGTGTCAATGACACATCAAACAACTGGAGAAATTTCACATGGGTGCCCTCAGCTCCATCCTTGACATTTGATGGCAAGACCTTGTCTCCAACCTGGAGGTTCTGGGTCACAAAAAGTCCACCAGCATTGAGTTCCTTATTATCAGAGCCAAGATGTGGTGGACGGGACATGTCATCCAATGAATGACCACTGTATACCTTGCCAATTGTTGTATAATGTACTGGAGACTGGAAAGAGACCTTGAGGTCATTCACACAGGCTTTTACAAAGATGCTGTGAAGGAAACTAATGACACTGTGACATTCAGCTAAGGGAACCAGAAGCTGTGGTTGCTGACACAACCTGTTGGTCGGCTCTGTGCTATGAAGCCCTTTTGTCAGCTTTGAAGAGAGGTGCAGACAAAAGCTGATAGAAAACTGTGAACTGTATCACAGAACAACATCCACAGTTACTACAACAATGGGCTTTCAGTACCTCCATTGTGTTAGACTCTGCCTTCCAGACTGGGAATGCAAAGCCTGGTTTGGGGGAGTTGGAATCAGGACTGTCTGATGGGGATGGCATGACTCCCTTGGCATGTTTGGAGAGGCCAGAGACTGAGGACAATGCTGTCAGAAGCCTCCCAGGCATTGGGAGAGGTGGTTGACTGGATGGAGAGCTGCCTGCCTAACAGACACAGGGGAGGATGGGCTGCTGACAGGCAGTAGGGCAGATAGGCAGCAGATCCCCTCTGATGAGGAACAGCTGCCTCCTCTGCTTGATCCAAGGGCATGGGGCGCCGAGAGTAGGCATACTCAGAGAAGGGCTGCTAGGCTACTCAAAAGGACACCCCAAGGAACACCTGGAGTGGATTGATTTAAGGAGAAGCGGTGGGGAGTTAGTCTTTGCCAGGAACAATTGTTTGTTTTGACTTACACTTCCCCAGCTTTAACGCATGCCTTTAGCCTTTAGCCTTGAGGATTGCCTTTTGTCTTGTACTGTGCCCTTACCTTGAGGACTGCTTTTTGCCTCTTGCCTTTCCTTTTTGTGAGAATTGCTTTTTGCTTTGTACCTTGTCTTTGCCCTGAAGCCTGCCTTTTGTCTTGTGCCTTGACTTTGCCTTAAGAACTACAGTTTACCTCATGGGCTCGCTTAACCAGGTGGACTGGACTTGGGACCCTGGACCTTGCCATGTGAGGGTGCTCCTACTGTGTGGACTTTCTTTGTTACGGGGTGTTTTGGGGAGACTGAGGGTGGCTGCCTTCAGGATAGTGTGGGGTGGAGCCTTACCAGAAGTTGGAGGCAGAAGTAGGTTTCTGCTGGATCAGGCGAACTGGTAGTGGCGGCGGTGGGAGGCTCCATCCACCCACCTGGATGCTTCTGCACATGCACAGAAGCATTTTGTGAATGTGTGAGCACACGCATGAGCCAACCGGTAGTAAAATAGATTGAAACTCACCACTGGTTGGAGGGCCTTTGTTGGAACACTTACTTAAAGCAATAAAGGACTCTCTAAAAGCCTGCCTTGCTTTGACCACT